CGCTGCGCCGCCCGCGTCTGCGACATGCGCGCTCCGAGCCTCTCCGGCCGCCTCAGGAAGACGGACAGACAGCGACCTAAACGACACGGGGAACTTCCAGACGGGACAACGAACACAAGGACACCAGAGATAGGTGGAGAGGGACAGGTGCGTCAAGGGCATGGAGCACAAAGACGACTTGTGATAATCACACGCTTGTAATAAATAGACATAAATAAATAAAAAGAAAAGCAAGTCAGTCTGGATAGTCCCACTTTTCTCCCAATGCAGACGTCTCTTTTTTGTTTCTTTGACGAATAATCATAAAATTTAAAATTTACATATTTTCTCAGAGATAAAGAGCTTAATATGCTATGAATCAATCAAGGCACTTTTTTAGTTTATGAGAATAATATTTGATTTTTGCTGCTTTAGATTTTAACCGTGAACTGGGTTTTATTCACCAACTAATTTTAAATCGAGTGGCATTTATTTAGACTCACTCTGAGGCCCCGTCCCCTTGGTGGTGATGGTGGGGACAGTGGGCACAGCAGCCTGACCCTCTGCCCTCTCCGGGTCCCCACATGCGGAGGAGGAGGACGGGGCTGAGGAGGAAGAAGAGGCTGCCGAGGTCGGAGAGGGGCAGGGAGGCCGGGCGGGGAAATCGGGGCTCAAAGGAGCAGAGTCAGGGTGGGCTCGAAGGGACCTGAGGACCCCTGAAGGGGTCTCTGCCAGAGCTTCCTGCCCTTCCCAATGACACAATTCTAGCTCCTCAGATGAGGCAGAAGAGGCTGCCGAGGGGCCGGCGCTGCAGAGAGCTGCTGGCGAGGGGGCTGGGGCTGGCTGCCGGGCCTGAGGGGCTGTCGGGGACGCAGCAGGGGTTGGGAGCCCTTTGGACTTGGACTCAATCCCTGAGGGGCACGGGCGGGGCTGGGCCTGGAGCTGGAGCAGGGCCGGGACAGGGGAGGTCCCCTCTGCCATTTTACAAGTGCTGCAACTTTCTCCACAGGATGAAGCGGATCCCAAGCGGCAGAAGGCAGAAAATGGGGCGTGGGCCTGAGCCCTGACAGTGGAGGTGGGGGGAGCAGACAAGTCCTGCCCCTCTGCACCTGGTCCCTGCGCTGGGCCCAGCCCAGAGCCACACCCCTTCTCTCTCCCCAGCCTTCTCCTTTCTGCCTCTCCAGACACTGCTCTTCCACCCTCAGAGTACTGGTTCCCTTTCCTCAGGGAGGATGACCAAAGTAGACCCTGAATTTGCCTTCAGAGCCCGCCCTTTCATAATCCTCTGCAGTTAAGGGGGCCCCCATGCCTGGGGTGGCCGGAAGGGGCTAAGAGAAGGCCTGGGACCAGATGGAGAGGGCAGGGGGGGCTGGGAAAAAATAGGACTCAGACTCCTTCCTACTCTCTTTCTCTTCATCCTTCCCCTCCTACCCTCCATCTCTCTCTCTCCGTCTCTTATTACAGTGGCGACCAAGAAGATTTTCTGCCTTAGAGCATGGGGTTCACCTTCCTCAGGCTCAGAGCAACCTAGAGGAGCTGAAGCAAGAATCAGAGCTGGACCCAGAACTAGAGGAGCCGGAGCCAGAGCAGCTCTGAGCCAGAGCCAAGGCGGCCGCAGATAGCAGCAGCTCAGTCCAAATAAACTCCCTGTCAGCAAGTCTGAGTTTGGCTCTTTCTCACCCAGTGAAGTCTCCTGTCTCTCCCCAGCCTCTGGGGGCTCCCTTCTCCCACCCCAGCCTCATAACCTACTTTCCCCAACCAATCTCCCTCATTTCCCCCTTTCTCTTTCTGTTTCTTCCTTGATCTCTCTTGCTTTGTCTCTCCTGGGTAATCATTTTTCTGAAGCACCAAAAAGCCCTCACCCCTTACCTCTACAGCTCTCTCCTCCAAACTTCCATCCACATTGTGCTGGCTGCCCTGGTTTCCTTTATATTTCTGTCCCTCTGGCGCACCCCACCCCACACTCAGCTGCACTTCAGCACTTGCCCTTGGCCCCTGGGCTGCAACAAGTATGTTCGTGCACATGTGCACACACGCACACAACCACACACACGTACACACACATGTACACACACAGAGGAGCTGTGTCAAGTCCTCCAGGAGATCAGGTCTCACAACCTTTCTGGGCATCCGGCTAAGGTTCCTCCTTCTGCCCTAACCCCCATGTTCCTCAGCCCTTGGTGGTTTTTCTGGTCTCAGGCATGAGAACACACCGACACCCAGTAGTCACTGCTAGTCACACCCCACCAGAGTTCACTGGGCCAGCTGCTGCAGGCCTAAGGAGTTTTAACATTGTAGGGGACAGGGCAGAGCACAGATCTGCCCCTGCAGGCACTGCATTTATAGTGCATGTGCTCTGTGTGCAGCAAATGAGTGTGCAGCCAGCAGCTGTCACATGTCCTATACACCCTTCAGAAGAGGGACTGAAAGATGCATGCCTCAGGAGATACAGCCCTGGACACCACCCTCCTGCCCCCCACAAGGTTATATTCCAAGTCTGACAAAGGGGCAGGTTGTGGACAAAGGCTGTAGGCGGGGAGAACAGCAGGCAGCAAGACAGCTGGCGTGGCTGAGGCTGTGGGGCAGGAGCCCCGACTTCACATTCCAGCTCTTTTTATGTGCCCGTAGCCAACCACCTTGAGCCTCAGTGTCCTCACCTAGTAAGTGGAGTAAATGTTAACGACCCACCAAAATGGATTGTGATGAATATCAGATAATAAAATGGCTTTGAAAATTATGAAGTATTCCAGCCAACCCGCCAAAAAAAATTAAAAAGCACAAAACTGTGTAGTGCTCCACACATATAACATACTTGTGAGGGACAAAGTAGGCCTGCTATGGTCATGACAATAATTACATTGAAGAACCCAAGCCCACCTATGCCTCCTCTCTGTCTGTCTGTCTTGGAGAGAGCATTCTTGCAACAGAGCACACATGGCCTTGGCCCACGGCACCCACAAGGCTGGCTCAGGGACCCAGACATCTGCCTGCAATGAGCATGGGGCCTGGGACTTAGGCTGCAGACAGCCCTGTCAGGAAAAGAAAATATTGAAAGCAAGTGGGAGCAAGCCTGCAGGAGGTGCATGGTGGCACATGCACATGCCATGTCCCACTGAGCCTGTGTACAAAGTGATGCAAAGAGACAAGCCATGAAGCTGAAGACCTGTTCCTGTGGAGACACAATGGCTAGAGACTTGGATACAGAGAATGGAGAAAGGCACACCTTTGTTCTGTGCAGAGCCTTAGGGAGAGAAGGGCACCCTCTGAAGCTTGAATAATGAAACATTTAAAGCAACCTGAGGT